CCTGAAGGAGCAATGTAAAGCACAAAAAAGCCAGCGTGATAAGACTTCACTTTCCCAGGTAAATGTGCTGTTTGTTTATATGCAAAAATATAAACAGAGCTATGGCAGTGACAGAAAATCTCAGCTGGGTCAGATGAAGAATTTTCACTTGTTTTATCAGCAATTGATTATGTTCTGGTAATATAATTGTAATATTTAAAGATAAAGCTGGGGTGTGGCTTTCATGTGGGTGTGAGATGGGAAGAAATGTTCTTCCTTGAAGGAGCAATGTGTCTTGAGAAGATTGATGGCTTAAAATCACCCAAGTTTTTGCCTTGGGGTACTCCATAGTTGGCTTAAAGGTTTGCCCATAGCCTGGGCGGGGTTATACCAAATTAATGTGAGCAAGCTTCATTGTGTAGTTTCTTATTTTTACAACCTAACAAAACAGATAATGTAACTTTAAAAAATGTAGTGTAATTAATTAATGTAATAATGTAACTTAAAAAAAAAAAAAAATTGATGCTCCTGAAAACAGTTTGCCTTTTGGTGATGTGTAACCCATTCTCCATTAATGAATCTACTTTTACTTTTTTGTTTTCAAAGCAACCATGCAAAACACAAGCCTGTATTCCAAGTAATGTAAAAAGTGTGGCAGAAGAGGAGTATCTGATCCACTCATGTAACATTTTCTTCATCAGGAGAACAGGAAAAGAAAGTCTGTTGTAATCCTGTGTAGTAAAACCACATGGTTCAAACCCCAAAGGTCAGAAGTGACAACAAAAGCTCTGGGACTTGCCAATTCAGCAGCTCTCAGTTGTTCCTGTGCTGGAGTTGTACAGTGATGGGAGAGGACTGTGCATCAATCTGTTGTAAAAATTCCTTGTAGAATTTGAGAGAGAGAGAGTCACAAGGAGCAGGAGAACGTGATGTCTGTGCTTTATAGACACGCTTTTTGTGGTTTTGTTAGCTTTTAGAACATTTTTAAAGCATTGTCACAAGCCACTAGTTGAGATGATACATACATAAATTCCAGTCATGTTGTCAGTGAGGAAATGTGTAATTACCTTGTGCCTGCTGTAGCCAGGAGGAAATCACACTGAATACCAGGAAAAAGCAAGGGGACTACAGGGTTTGGCTGTAAGTAGTGATCTGGGCAGGAATCTCCTCTGTCTGTGGTAGTTCCATGTACCAGCTGGATAATATCTGCCAGAAGCTGTTTCAGCCCCTAAACATGGATCAGACAATTGCTTTTATCCCCTTTGCATGTTGGAAGTGCAAGCAGAGATTATGCTTCACTGGCTAAGATAGAAATAGCATTCAAGGAAGCAAACTTGGTGTTACTGGATACTTGGGCTGTCAGGAGACTGAGCAGTGGCCTCTGTGCCTACATCACCTTTCCAGTACACTGACTTTTTGTTTGGTTTGGTTTGTGTGCTGTATCTGGAATGCTGTGTCTGATTTGCCACTCAGTCTTTAGCACAGCTCTTTAATGGAGAAACTTCAGTAATGGTTCACAGAAGGCATTGTGTTAACTCAGCTGCAAACCTGGCCATTGCTTTGACACTCTTACGAATATTGAACTTGTGTAGGCAGCCACTTGCTTTGGTGGCTCTGGGGGGGTGTGAGGACCCCCAGAGTGGATGGCTGTTTCCAGGGACAGGCACATTACCAGGCAAGGTGAGAGTGTACCTTGGTAGCTGATCCATCCTCTTGGTGGTTCAAGTAAACTTTCACTTTTCTATAGTTTCAAACTGAATTTTGGGCTGTCCGACATGTTGAGGTACAGCCTCACTCTTCTGAGAAGAGGTGCATTTCATGCTGCTCTTGTCTGGGGGCGGTGGGATTTTGCCTGGAAAAAATACTTTGCACGGAAATGGAGTAATTTATGAGAAGCTGTATGATCGTACAAAATTACACCGAGCCTTGAATTTCCTTCCAGTCAGAAGAGAAATTTGTTAGTGCAGAGTGCATGAACTCATCAAAACAGTTCAAATCCAAGGGTCTGCCTTCAAGTCTGTGTGTGCAGCAGCACTTTGTGAAGTCTCAATCTCTTAAATATGCACAGTCCTCCCACACATGGAGCTTCCAGCTTTTGACTGGGAGGCTGCTGCAGCAGGAGCATCACTTGGGTAGAAATAGCACCGCCCTTGGCTATGCCTTTCCCTAGAAAAGGTAAAAATGCACATGCAGAGCACAGACATGGGATCCCAGGCTGGCTTGTGTTGGAAGGGACTTTAAAAATCATCCAGTTCCAACCTCCTGCCATGGGCAGGGACTCTTTCCACAGTCCCAGGTTGCTCCAAGCCCCATCCAACCTGGCCTTGGACACTTTCAGGGATCCAGGGGCAACTTCTGCCAGGGCTTCCCCACTCTCACAGGGAGCAATTTATTATTATCTAATAATTATAAATTTATTATCTAAACTAAACATGCCCTCCTTCAGCTGAATTCCATTCCTCCTTGTGCTGTCACTGCATACCCTTATGAATGCATCCTGAATGTATGGATGTCTGGATATAATGAAAGCTCAAACTTTCAAGAAAATGCTTTTGTTTGCCTTTTCTTTTATTGGGAAGAGTTCAGCATGAAAAATCTCAGTCTTTTGGTACTATGACTAAAAGAATAGTGGCAGCATGACAGTAAAACTTGGAAGATGCTTTTCTTCCCTTGTTTCAAGAAGATGGTGAGATCTAAACCAACCTATTTTCATTGGATTAAATCACATTTCGCTAAGGCAAGAGGTTGCACAGTGCAGAATTTACTGCAATAGAAGAGAATTAAAAAAATTAATTTCCCCCAACAAGTCAGCACTGAAGTAGTGTGGCAGAAATCACCTTCTCCCCCTCCCAGGGTTTCTGCACCATTTTGCTTCAAATTGGCTTGATAGGTAGTTTTTTAAAAGAAGTTCTATTGTTTCATGCTCTCCAAACAATGAGTTTGCTACACCTCTGAAAATCAGGCTGCTTATGTAAGGGCCTAAATTTGTCTGTATCATGCCAGTTTGAAAGTAATTCCATAACTTTTATGTGCCTTCTCTCCCCATGAAGCACATACAGGGGCATGTAAAGTATCAGGACATGGTGCCTAAAGGCTTTTTTTTTGTTTGAAACATCTCAGTGTTGGAGAAGGCAATTTGATCTGGGAAAACAGACCTGATATCTCCAAGTCTGGAGCTTTGTTCTTGGCTGAGCTATGTAGTGAGGAGCCGCTCATTCCCTGTTAAATTTCCACGATCAAACATTCTGGAGGCAGAAAACTAAAAATGTGAAAGCAAAGCCTTACACACTGTAGTAGTGTACTCTTGAGAGTCACATAACAGCAAAGTTATTTTATCCTCCAAGTCTGATTTAATCCTTAATGCACTTTCCAATACTTAAATTTGAGATATTTTGGGACACTGTTAACTCAAATTCTAGCCTTTACATTTGGGTTTCTTGCAGGACATGTGGCTGATGTTTTATTTGCATTGCTTAATATTCTACATTTAGAATATTAAGCAGACTTTAGATATTAGAAAAAAGCAGATATCTCTCTAGGAACATTTTGCTCTTGTTTAAACACTCACTCCCTGACTTTAGGTAATGAGCAGAGGCTGTGCCCAGGAACACTTGAGTTGAGCTGGGCCTGGTGTTTTCCTGAAATTCTGTTCAGATCTGAAGCATGTTCTTACCAATAACAAAATCTGCAATAATATAACAACTGCTGCTAGTAGTATTTGTACTATGAGGTCGCACTGCAGCTTCCCACACTTGTGAATTGGTCATGGTAATGCTGGTCACTGGCAGGTCAGGAATAACCAACTCTTCAGCTTCCCAAATGAGTCTGCTTCAGCTCCTGTACTGGTCTGGGCTGTGCTGTGGCCTCTGCCTTACTTGCTGTTTTGCTTTCTTTTAAACAACAAAGTTTTCAGCCTAAATAAAGCTTTTCTGCAAACCCCATGTGATCAGGCAGGATACAGGAAGGTAATCCAGGTTGCTGGCTGTTCCTGTTAGCTGCTGGAGAAGGGCTGAAGCCCAGGGCGGGAGCTTTTCACCCTGCAGGATGAAGGGCTTATCTCTCCTCTCTGCAGTGACCTCATCCTGAGGAGCTATGGCACTGAGCTGTTCCCTTGCCATTGGCTGTGTCCTGCCTGGCCACCTCTTTCTCCCTTCCAGTGGCTGTTTGCAGAACCTGGAAATTTGTACCTGCTATAACTGATCTTACTTTTTAACAAAATACTTCCTGTTAAGGCCTTTTTATTTTTACCCCACTCTCAGCGTCTTCTGGAATTTAAAACTGGACTTTGTTCCATGTTGCAGGCTGAATTCACTTAATTACTTGTGGCCCAGAATTAGAGCCTGCTGTTTCAGAAGGGACTATCCCAAAGCTGTTTTTGCAGTGGGCAGCATGACCCCCAGCAGTCAACCTGGCTCTGTGGGAAGGTGGCACCAGCATGGGTCATGGAAAAAAGACCTCTCAGTAGAGCATGGAGCGAGAGATGGTGGCACTTCTGAAAATGGATCCCAGCTCTTGTTTTATCTGCACCCTGGTCATAACTAGGTGGGACTCTGAGGGAGCAGCCATAAACCATCCCTTGGTGGAATCAAGGGACCTGTATGAAAGGGCTCTGTTTCTCTAACTCTGTCTCGAGAGTTTGCAGAGGGGTCCTGAGCTTGTGGGCTGTTCCAGGCCCAGGAACACTGGTGGGACTCAAACCATAGCTAAGCTGGGGCCAGCTTCAGCCTGATAATGCTATAGGAACTCTCTGCAAAGAATCTTTCACGACTTTGACCTTTAGGCTCTTGTTTAAAGTTGTGTTGTTTGTTTACTGGGCAATTCCTGCAGTAGGTTACCGAGAGTATTACCTGAGTGGAGTTTCTGTTGGAACCATTTATATTTTTTTTAGGGCAGTAATTATTTACTAAGTATCAGCGGCTGTCTGGAAAGTCTGGTTAATTATCAGCCCACCTCAGTGAAACTGCACGCAGTGAAAATACTTAAATAAAAAATTGAAGTTGTTCTTTTTCCTCTTGTTTCAGGTACTGGGCCCACATGTCACATGTGAGTTGTGTCCTACAAATGCTCTGAGCACCCCTTCGGGCCGTCTCCTTGATGCACACTCACGGCATCATGGCCAGCACTCAGGAGCGCCTGAGCCTGTCTTCCTCTCCCAACTCCATCGGCAAAGCGTTCTGTGAGGACAAAGACTTGGGGAGGTTCCCCGACGAGCACCCCGCAGCCGGGAGCCACGCGTCCCCTGAGCTGCTGGAGGACGTGCGGGAGCGGGGCTCGCTGCCGGCCGAGCTGCTGGAGGGTGTGAGCAGCCCGGGCACGGCGGCTGTGCTGACCAGCATCAGCGAGGACGCCCGCGACCAGTTTGAGAACAGCGTGCTGCAGCTGCGGGAGCAGGACGAGCCCGAGCCGGGGCTGCCGCAGGGCACGCGCAGCCCGGGGGACGGCGACACTGGTGGTGCCACCGATGATGTGAAGGTCCAGTTCAACCGGACGGGCAGCGGCAGCGGCGGCTTCCTCGAGGGGCTCTTCGGGTGCCTGCGGCCCGTGTGGAACATCATAGGCAAGGCCTACTCCACGGACTACAAGCTGCAGCAGCAAGGTAAGAGGGAACGGCCCGCTTTGGGGTGAGGTGAGGCAAGTCACCCAGGGCTCTTCCCCAGCTCTCCACGTGGCCGTTTTGGTCTTGCCCAGCCCTGTCACAGGTTTCCAGGGATAAATCCTGCGCTGTAAGGCCAACATCCATTGTGTGGCAAAGGCGGCTCGTGAGGGAGTCAAAGCTGCCTGTTCAGCCCCGTGGCTTGGACCATACTGACAAGGCCTGAATCTGAACGGAGCGTGGGGATGAGAAGGAATTGTGTTGAATTTCTTGGTACAGTCCCTGTGTTAATTTCTGGAGGTTTTTTATGCCAGATGAAAAACACAGACATGGGCACTTCCACTTCAGAACCTCGAGGTAAGGGATGTCCCCAGTTGACCACCAAATAGCAGGAGTATCGCTTTTCTTTTAAAAAGACTTCTATTTCTTTTTATTCAGGAGTATTATTCCTCTTTAAAATATCATTTAGTACTCGTCTTTCCAGAAATATCTTCTTTAATATTTATACCTTTTCCATTTGGATGTGTAAGCGTAAATGTGTAAGTGTATGTGAGTATAAATACATATAAAATCTGTAGCTTGAGAATAAGTGATGTCCCAGTTGACTGCATATATATCTATATATCTATCTCTATATATATCTTTAGGGGGTACTGAAAGCTAAAGAGTAGAGTATGCTCTGCTGTTGGTGTCTGATTTCTCCCCTAGCACAGGGGGAGGGAGGTGGCAGATGGGAAAAGAACAAGCTGTCATTAGAATTAAGGAGCTGAAATGGTTGAGGCTTATGGAAAATGGGAACAGCCTGGCCACCGCAGTACCATGGGGCAAAGTCTCCTTTGAGCATCACGCAGTGGTAATCAGATGGCTTTTTGGCACTGACAAATTATAAGATACAAGGTCAGAAACCTGTCTGAGTGGTTCAAATCTAAACCCCAGAGGGATGGGGAGCAGCTCCTGATATGAGGGAACGGAGCTGTTAAATAACATGTTAGATGAATTTGCCTTGAGATCAGCTTTCTAGAGTCAGTTGTTTCAGCGAGCAGGAAGTGTACCTCTGCATTCCAGGTGCCTCCTGAGCAGCAGCCCCCTGTGCAAGGGTTTGCTTGGTTTGAAATTCTCTGGCACAGTTGGTTCTGTTTCGTTTGCATGTTGTAAATTCGGTGTGTCACATGTGGTTCAGACTATAAATAAAAACAGTGACAGGAAGTTCCCTAGGGGATTAAGGCTACTGGGGTGATTGCACAAGGGGTGAACAGTTTTGAAAGGGGCTGTCTGGGTGTGGAGTCTCCCTTGGGAAGGGAAAGGAGGAAAGGAGGTTCTGAGCAGTTGGATGACATTCAGAGCAGGCATTGGGCAGTGTCTGTGTGACAGTGCTTTGGGTTGGATGCTCAGTGTTTGTAAGTGAAACTAAAAATTTCTGAGGAAAGGCTGCCAATGCAGAGTGGCAGTGGCCACTCCCAGCAATTCTCTGTGTGTCCCACACCTGTCCCCACTGCTGGCTCTGAGCCATCCTGTGCTGGTGTGTCCCTGTCCCCTTGGAAAGGAGGCTTTGGGAGAGCGGCCTGTGAGACAGAGAGATCCCATTTCCCATATAACTGGGCCAGCAGATGCACTGGAGAGCACAGTGCAATCTGTGCTTTGGTGGCCCACAGGGGACACTTGCTTTTGTATGGAAGTCATCAAACTAAAAGATTGAAGCAGTAACGAATGAAAAGGAGCAGCTGAGAGCAGTACTGGGGCTGGAGGGTGCACACAGAGCTTGTTCCTGTGCACAGTGTCTAGCTGTGTTGGGAGCATGTTCAGAGCCACACATCCAGGGGCACTCTGCTGTTTGCTGCTGGCATCAGGCCCTTCTAAAAGAGCAGATTTGAACTGGCTACAGATGTGGTAAGGCTGAGGATTAACTGGGATCAGCTATATGTATTCTGTGTGGTTGAGCTGCATTTTCAGTGTCTTCACTGTTGCAAAGGGGAGTGAAAAGAAGATTTTTTCAAAATGTTATTATTTTTTTCTTCTGGAGCTGCTCAGTTGTCTGGCTCTGATGACATCTGTTACTCTGGTGACAGTACTACATTTCTATTACTCAAGGATAAATCTTTTCAAACTGCTTCTGTGCTGAAACTTGAGGATTTTGTGAGAATATTCATGTTCTCTTTTCCAGATGATCTCATTCTTGCTTCTTACCACCAGAAAATCATCTTTGTGTGCATTTCATCAGCTACATACAAGCCAGCAGTTCAGTAACTGATGTATGTGGTTATTTTTATTTTTGCTGTCTTTTAGCAAGAACACAGAGGATGCATGGATTGTGTTTGTGCAAGTGATGTGTGGCTGAGGAAATGTCTGGGGCTCTTTCAGCAGCAGGGAGAGGATTGTGGTGGCTTTACATTTCCCTGGGAGCTGCTTTACAGCTTTGGGCTGGTGCCATGGGTCTGTGCAGACCATTTCCCCCCTCCCCTTCTTTATCAGACAACTACTTAAAGCCTCATCCAGGAGTAATCCTTTGTGTTGGGCTGAATCAACAACAGGGGTAGGAGTCCAGTTTGGATCTGGAGCCATGTGGCTTTCCAGTACTTAAAGAGGGCTTATAAAAAAGAGGGAGAGCAACTTTTTACATGGGGAGGTAGTGATAGGGCAAGAGGGAATGGTTTTAAACTAATAAAAGAGAGATTAAGATTAGATGAGGAAGAAATTCTTCCCTGTGAGGGTGCTGAGGCCCTGGCACAGGGTGCCCAGAGAAGCTGTGGCTGCCCCTGGATCCCTGTAAGTGTCTTAGGCCAGGCTGGATGGGGCTTGGAGCAACCTGGGATAGTGGAAAGTGTCCCTGCCCATGGCAGGGGGTGGAAGGGGGTGGGCTTTAAGATCCCTTCCAACCCAAACCATTTTATGTTGCCTGCAGGTACTTCATGGTACTTTTTGCTGCTCCCTGGTATCCCTGCCCACCTGCTTTGGCTGTCCTGCAGGCCCATTCTTTGGGGGCATGGTGTTGTGGTTGCAAGTAGTAAAAGACAAATAGGTTTCATGTCCTTGAGCCCATATTGCCTGGGAAGCTTTGGCTTAGTGAAAGAGGGAAAAGGTAAGAAGAGCTTTTACACGATTCTGCATTATCTTGTTGAAATTACTGCTTGAGTGTCCTTCCTGACACCCAAATGGTCAACAGGAGTGCTGTGCTGCTCTCAGAACACACCTGGGCAGAAAGTTGGTCAGCTGGGAACTGCTGCAGGCTCTCTGCTGGTTGATCAAGTGATGCCAATCCCTGCTTGGTGAGGAGTCATTCCTTCAGGGAATGTCTGCTTTTGTATTGTTCAGTGCCAGCTGATTATCTGAGGTTTAAGTACTTGCGGTTTGACCCATAAAATCCCTCCCTCCTATGATTTTCCAGTTGTTTACCCTGATTTCTAAAGGCTGTTGGGGAGTGCTTTCAGGGACACACACTCAGTTCTTTAATTTACATCTATCAGTTATTTAATTGCGATTGTGGGGACTCCAGCACTTTAAAGCAAGACTTGTTTGTGTTTCCTAGAGACTCATTAGACTTCCCAGCCATTTCCTTTGGATTAGAAGCTGTCTCCAGGAGCTGCTTTCACCTTCCCTTTCACAAGTTGTGTGTTTACCATTATTGTGAGGGTTTTTGTGTGTACCTGGAGAGCAAGGTGCCCATTGGAGGGTGCTTGTGTTGAGGGGGTCTGTGTAAACCAGAGATGCTTCTTGTCACAATGCCAGTGCTGGAGAGCAGCCAGTGCTGGGAAAAACTTCCTCCAAATAGATTGGTTCAATGGCTCAGGCTGCTCCTGCGTTTCTTCCCCATGGGAAATAGATTCTCATCATTCTACTCAAATGGTTCTTAATCACCTCAGAAACGCAAATTCTTGCGCAATTCCTGCTCCTATTACTTAAATTTATTTAGGGGAAGTATCCCACTGGTTTCTTAAGGCCCAGAAGAGTCTGACTACTGCACTGTATGTTACCTATGGTTTGGCTCTTTGTTCTTCTTGATATTCCCAAATATGTGGGATATTTCACTGTCACTACGTGGAAACCTCTTTCTGGAATTGTGCCCCTGACAATCAGGCTGCAAATGGGATATGAGAGAGCATCTATGCTTCAAAATAAACATGAGATGACTCTGCAGAAAGAACCACATGAACTTTTGCTTACTTTGTTTACAGTCCCTCTAAGCCTTTACCATTGCAGAGGGAATATTAGAGGAAGGTAATATTACGTGGTAGGGAGTATTAAGAGCAAACTAAGGTTCCAAGGTGATACAGTTATTCATTACTGCTCACAAACTGTAGATGCTTCATGGAAATGAATGCCAGTGTTCTGTGTCCTGTACAGGAAAGACAGAATTCCCACAGGTAAGGATGGAGAGAGACTTTGGACAACAGGGAATGGCTTCCCACTGCCAGAGGGCAGGATTAGGTGGGATACTGGGGAGAAATTCTTCCCTGTGAGAGTGGGGAGGCCCTGGCACAGGGTGCCCAGAGAAGCTGTGGCTGCCCCTGGATCCCTGTAAGTGTCCAAGGCCAGGCTGGATGGGTCTTGGAGCAACCTGGGATAGTGGAAAGTGTCCCTGCCCATGGCAGGGAAGGAACTGGACAAGCTTTTAGATCCTTCTCACCCCAGGCCATTCATGATTCTATGAAAGGAACAGCTATTTCAGTACAACAGAATAGTTTCTATGTTGCCCATATGAAAACACTGTTCATCAACATGCACAAAAATCACCTCTATTTGTCACCTCCTTTCAGAAGGGATGCATTTGTGACTTAAATAGAAATACAGATTTTCTTGATTTAAGTATGAATGAATGAATTTTATTAATTATCCAATAATTTTCTTTTTTAAAAAATCTTTTAGTGTTTAAATATCCAGAAACTTTAATGCCAGTTTATGTTTAAAGCTGCAAGCAGTTCCATGAGTATGGAAAATAGCCTTGTATCTGTGAAGGAACATGTGCTGGGGGTTGAACTCTGCCCTGCCAAGGTGGAGGGAATTTCTGCTGCGGATTTGTGGTTTCAGTTCAGTGAGCAGAAGGAGCGCTGGGGTCTGGCTCTGGGGGAGAGCTGCTTTCCCATGGCCATGCTGGGGGAGAGCTTGCTCAACAGGAGACAGCAGCCACTGCCTGCCTGTTGCATCAATGATCCCAGGGAAAGCCTGGAAGTGGGATCAGGCCACAGGCAGTTGGGATATACAAGTTTCCTTTCAGTGATAACAGTATCTATAACAGACACTAGCATAATCCCAGCTGCAACCCTGGGAACGTCCCAAAGGCTCTGAGTCTGGATGAGAGGAGGACACACTTTGTAGTCATGTGAAACAGAGATCTGTACAGGTGTGACTTCCTTTTATTTCAGAAATCAGTGGGTTACTTGTTAGGTTTGCAGCTAAATAATTTATTCTCCAAACTTCGATCTTTATTGAATTACAGTAAATAAACAATTGCCTGCCTTTTATCCTGCTGCTTGTGAGATTTGAGGTAATTTCAAGGTGACTGACAGGGAACAGGGCTTTCTGTTCAGATGGGTGCAGCTCTCTTGAAGCAGCTTATACAGTGCCACTGGACCACTCCAGCATTACCCCTACAAATGTGTGTGGGTACCGAAGAGGAGGAATTACTTAAGGTTGTTTTTCCAGTTTGACATTGATATACATGATGTTGGTGTGGGAAGGACCTATTTCTGTGCCTGCTGCTGTGGTTGATGTGCTTTGTGTTGCCTGTCTTGGTAGTTGCTGCTCGGTGTTTTGCAGCCTGCCACCTCTGACTTTTATTTCCTATTTTTGTTTATTTCAGGTAGTGAAAAAGACACTCAATATTTTTTATATCACTTGTGAATGTTAAATGTTTCTTCTAATCTATGCTTTTCAATGGAGTCGTGCACTTTGTTCAGTGTTGGAGTAGATCTCCCAAAATTGCCAGTCCAGGGTTCCTGTTACAGTCAGTTGCTGCCTGCCAAGCTGGAGTGGCTCACACAAGTGGTTAGCAGGGAGGTGAAAAAGCAGCTGGAAGGATGGGAATGAGCAGGCTAGAGGTGGCTGGGATGGCTGAAAGGGTTGTTGGAGCACATGTGGTGTGTGCCTCAGCTGTACCAGGAGTAGATGTCACCTACTCCCTCCAGAAGAGCCCATGCTGTGGCACAATTGATGGCAGGTGCGCTCTGACACTTTCACTGTCTTGACCTTTTCCGTTATCCCATTTTTTTGCCTGTGCCCAGACACGTGGGAGGTGCCATTTGAGGAGATCTCGGAGCTGCAGTGGCTGGGCAGCGGGGCACAGGGAGCCGTCTTCCTGGGGAAATTCCGAGCAGAGGAGGTGGCCATCAAGAAAGTGAGGGATCAGAACGAGACAGACATCAAGCACCTGCGGAAGCTCAAGCATCCCAACATTATCGCCTTCAAGTAGGTTGTGACCCTTGTCAGCTTTATCCAGGCAAGAGCCGTTCGCTCAAGTTCTCTGGGAAGGTTTTTTCCATCCAGGAGCTAAGGTGTTTCTTAGTGGTGGTCCAGCTGTCTGTCTGCTGCTCCTCACTGTGTGTTCTCTTTGACAGGGGAGTTTGCACCCAGGCCCCGTGCTACTGCATCATCATGGAATACTGTGCCCACGGGCAGCTCTATGAGGTCCTGCGGGCTGGCAGGAAGGTCACCCCGCGGCTGCTAGTGGACTGGTCCACAGGAATTGCCAGTGGCATGAACTACCTGCACCTCCACAAAATCATCCACCGAGACCTCAAGTCACCAAAGTGAGTATCAGCTGCTTAAACATCCCTTAGTTTGGGTTCCTCAAGTCACCAAAGTTACACATCCCCCAGCTGTGGTTCTTCACGCCATCAAAGTGACTCTCAGATGCTTAAACATCCCCCAGGTGGGGCTATTTTTAATTTTTCTTGAGAAATAATTAAAAGTTTGGTCAAGAGGCTCTACTATTTTTTCCCCCATATTGATTCAAAACTAATGAGAGTGAAACTATTGCAGCTTGTTGACACTCAACAAGAGTGGAAATTTTACCAGTATCTTTCATGATAAGTAGCAGTCAGGAAATATTTAATGATTTGATGATACCTGGTCTTTTTAAAAAGTGGGATATTCTGTTGCCTTCTGCCTTTTTATTTTTCCTTTTTATTCTACTGTTAATTCCCTGGCTTTCTAGAGTGTGTCTTCCTTATTTCTAGGTTGCTTTCTGACTAAAATGTTTTGGCTTCTTTATATTCTTATCCCCTAGATGTTTATTATTTCTTTAGTCTGTGACAGTGCATTAAGATAATGCTTTTAGATTATTTACAGCACAGTTTAAGGTACAGCTTTGCTTCTAGATCCTCAGTTACTTGTTAATTTGCAGTTTTATTGAGATTGATTTTTGACTCATAGCATTAAGAAATGCATTTAAGGCACAAAACACAACCACCCAAAAGAGAGTGAGAGCTTTTACTGGGGAAAATACAAAAGCTTTTCTTTTGTACTGCACTTGTGAGCAGTGTGGCTTCATCAACAGGTTGTGTTGCTTAAGAAGGGATTACTCCAGTGGCTGTTGTGGTGCAAGAAAAATCACAAAATGCTGACTTCTTTTTTTTCCCCTCTCCAGTGTTTTGGTTACACACACAGATGCAGTAAAGATTTCAGATTTTGGTACATCTAAAGAGCTCAGTGATAAAAGTACCAAAATGTCCTTTGCGGGGACAGTGGCGTGGATGGCCCCGGAGGTGATACGGAACGAGCCTGTCTCCGAGAAGGTGGACATCTGGTGAGTCGTGTTCATGGGCAAGAACCTTCACCTTCTGTTCAGTCCCTTGGTTTCCCAGCACTTCCCATGTCCTTTCCTCGTCCTGTGCCTGAGCATGGTTTGCTCTGTGGTGGGCTATTCCTTTTTCCTTCTGCCTGGTGCCCTGAGCTTTGGTGGGCTCTGATGGAAAGGGAAATGACACAGGTGTGCTGGCTGAGTGCTGACCTGCAGCTTCCAGCTAAAGATCAGTGCAGACAGTCTGTGTCTGGCAGGAAGCAAATGCAGAAATTGTTCTCTGTGTCGTTATTCAGCTGAGAATTTTCTCCTAGTGCTGTGCTCAGGGCCCCCTCAGCAGCCTCCACAGCCAGGGTGGTTTTCCATCACTTCTGGCCCTCTTCAGGGCCATGCTGGGCCTGTGAGGAGTTCCCTGCTCTGCTGTCCACACCCTTGTGCTTCCTGCACACCAGGCTGGTTGTTGTAGGGGCAGCCCCAGGATTACAGTCCAGTGAATCCAGTCCCAAGAGGGAGGAAACCAGGATAGGTTGTAAGAGTTTTGGAACCTGTTTCTATTGTTGTGGAACATCTCTGTGTCCAAAGGCACACAAGGAATGGTTCAGTGTCTGTGCTGTTAAAAATGCTTGAGAGGGCTCGGCCTTGGAGTTCCTTTGGGAAGCCTCTCCACGGGTTTCAGAGCCCTCAAGGGAACTGCATCTCTGTTTCTGCCTCATTATTTCTGCATATTCAATGTCAGTAGCCAGGACAAATGCCCTTGTCCTTGCTTTACAGCCAGGAGGGATTTTGCTTCCTGTGGTTTTTCAGCTTCAGATGCTGTCCCTTCCCTGGCAGGGCAGGGAGCTGCTGGACAAAGCCGCGGGTGATCCAGGGTGCAGTGGAGTCAGGAGCTGCTGCTGGAGGTCTGGCTCGGGCCTGGGCTTGGCCTGAAGGGCAAGATTTCCTGCAGGGAAGGTGGTGTTATCTGTGGTGTCCAGCTGCTCTTGTGCCTGTGGTGTCCACTGTGTTTATTTTAGGTGTCCAGGTCACAGCACAGCCAGGTCCTCTGGGAGGAGCACTTGGTTTGTTCTGGAAAGAAAACACACCCAGCATTTGTCTGCTGAACCCCTCCCTTTGAATCATAGGACTGTGAGGACGAGTGGTGCTGGATTTCCACCCTTGGCTTTCTGTCCTTTAGAGTGGTTTATGTTCAGGGATATTTCACAGAACATCTTATCCAATGAACCCTTTGCTCCTTCCTTCAGTGACTTGGTGTTGCTTTTTAGTGCCAGTTCCTCTGGAGTTCATAACAGTGGTGATTGCTCAGACTCTCCCTTGCCATCCATTCCTCCTTCAAGATGAATAAAAATGATGTTCATGAATGCTGCCAACAAATGAGAACAATTCCTGAGCTGCTTCTATGTCTGCTCTCTCTCATCCTAACAGCATGCAGAAAAATAAATCTATAATCTTATCAGGAGTCTTGGAAATCCTTTGTCAATTCTTAGTCATAACAAATATGAAACCAGATGAGCTTTCCATGGTAGTTTGTCCAACCTTCTGGATCCCTGCTTTCCTACAGCCCACAAAGAAGGATTTTGAGGCGAGAAATATTCAAATTCTGCTTGTTTGTTGCTTTATTTTTCTTTACACATGACTTGAAGTCAATGGGCTTTAGAAGTGGAGTGTTTTTCACATGAAGTTGTTTCCTGACTGATGGTTGTTCAGATCTGGTAGTTTGTCCCTTAGAAGTTCTTCTGTACTGAATAAAAGCACTGGATTATTGGTACAAGCCAGAGGGACCCTTCTCACCTTCCACCTGGCTGTAGTCTCCAGCTTGGAAGGGTCAGTGTTCCACAGGAGAATGGGACAGTGGGGTAAGGTGGTGTCTGGCATGGAAATGGAGATGGTTGTGCCTCACCTGTGTCACAGCCCAGTTGTTGATGTGCAGTAACAGTGGTGGTGGTCCTCAGCAGCATTTTGTTTACCTCTGTACTGACTGGTTTGGTGTTTCTTTGGTGTTTGATCAGGTGATGATTGTATACAAAACAAATGTTTGCTGTTAAAAATTAAGGTTTTGGTTCTTTCTGGTAACTTCACTAAGGACAAGAAGCAAAGTGAGTTTTCTTACCTATATCTTTCGGATCCTGTAGGAGGTTCTTTCCCTGACTGAGTTCTCTTAATTAATTATTTTTTGCTTTACTCTTCCTTTCTTCAGAACAAAAGGAATATCAGATGAGACCTCGTGTGCTTTTGGTACTGACAGTTATGCAAGTAGCATTTGTTTCCTAATTTCTGTGTTGCAGTAGTTGTAGTGCTGAGTCTCAAACCTTGAAACTCTTACCTGGGACTACAGGTAACAGCAGAGGGAGCCTTTGGTTAGGGAAAAGAAAAGAAAACCAGTTAAATGAAATGTAAAAAAGCCACAAAACCTTTGTTGTGTTGTCCCTGTAAGACACTTGTCAGTCTGTGCAGTAGTCAATCATCTGTTCTTACCAGCAAGAACAGTTCAAAGTCTATCTGAGCGTAGACTTTGGAGTATTTTCATTTAACAGGAGCAAGACTTAATCTGTACATAAAATGTGCTTTCAGGATCTTTAAAATCTCACCAAGAAGCAGGAAAGAGTGGGTGAAAACCAGTGTGGTTTTGTGCTCAGCTCAGTTCTGGAGCAGAGGAGTTACCTGGTGTGTTAAAAAACACTGTTGCATCTGCTTGCAGTTTTGGACCAGACATTCCTATTTCCCTGTTTTGCCCAACAAACTGTTTTTTGAAGCTCCAGATGTTTCTGTTAACAGCTTTTGTGTGAACTCGATTTCTCCTGGTTTATTTCTTCATCAGGTCGTTTGGGGTGGTTTTGTGGGAGCTGCTCACGGGAGAGATTCCCTACAAGGACGTGGACTCTTCGGCCATCATTTGGGGAGTGGGCAGCAACAGCCTCCACCTTCCTGTCCCTTCCACCTGCCCAGATGGCTTCAAAATCCTCATGAAGCAAACCTGGTAAGAGCCTGCACCCCATACAGCATAAACCTAGGGCTGGCTCCCAGCAAAACCCATGAAAGTCAGGGCGCGAATTTGGAGCCCGGAGCAGAGGGCTCTTAGATACTCTCACACTTGTCCTGAGAACAACAAGTCTTAACATTTTGGATTCTACTTCCTTGTGGCAGCAGGCCTGGACCCCAGGACATCTTCAGGAGCCTTCACAGAGGGTGTTGGTTTGCTGTAGCAAAGTAGGGGATAAAAAGTGTCTCTGTGGGAAGAGGAAAGGAGCTGGAAGGAAAGTAGGGGTAAAATTCCTTGAGGCCACATCCAGAGTGAAGGAAACTGATTTTTTCACTCAGAAGAACGCTTGAAAGCAACTGGCTTTTGGACTGGACAAAGAGGAAAAACAACCTTTCTGTCTGGAGCACAGATTTTCCAGGTTCAGATATGGAAAATGCTTTCAGCTTCCTCTGTGTACCAGATTAGAATTTAAATTCTTTGTCTTGGGTTTCACATTGATGCTTTGTCTTTGTAATTACATCTTGACACAGTGTAAAGGATCTTCCAGCATTTTCCCAGTCCGTGGATTTTACCAGCCATCCTCCCCATGGCACAAAGGGGACAACGGGCCAGAGCACGTGTGGATCTTTCCCTGTGGCTGTTTACCCTGAGCTGCAGCAGGCGGGCTGTGGCAGCTTGTGCAGCTCGGTACAAATGAGCACCTGCAAACACTTGTATCCCCACCTAGTGGAAGGAGGTGGTTGGCAGGGGAAAGGAAGCTCAAGAAGCTGCTCTTGCTCTCTGCAAGGTGGATTCAGTCCTGAAACTCAAGTGCTGGTCCTTTTTCTCAAAAATCCAAACGTTTTTGTATTTTTCTGTGATCTTTGGGGCTGTTCAGTGCATTGCAATACTCAGGCATGTGCTGTGTGACAACTCAGACCTTTAGTGCTTAGAAGCACCCTGAATGCAAGTTTTCGTTTCTACTAGATCTAGTCTTCCCATTACAAAATTTGGAAATTGATGGGACAACAAACCAAAGTATGTTTCTTCTTGACAAGCAAGTTAGGATAGAAACTGACACTGTTGCTATCTTTCACCTTGTTACATTTTCTGGGCTTAAACATTTTGCACCCCTTTTGTTTCTTCAGAGTGGGTCACCACAAACCACTTCTAGCACAATTAAATTGTATTCAGCAAAAGAGAAAATGAGAAAAGCTCCTTTGCTCTAACCTGTCAGCTGCTTGGTTCAGAGAATAGGATCTAGTGAAACCTTTCAGAAGGGCAGGAGAGGCTGGCAGTGCCCATCCCTCACCCAGAAGGGCAGGAGAGGCTGGCAGTGCCCATCCCTCACCTCACCCCTGGCTGTTTCTGTTTCGTTTCAGGCAGAGCAAGCCCCGGAACCGCCCGTCCTTCCGGCAGACACTGATGCACTTGGACATCGCCTCTGCTGATGTGCTGGCTACTCCTCAGGAAACCTACTTCAAATCCCAGGTAACTGGGGAAAGGCTGTAGCCTGTGAGTGCTGGAGTTAGCTACAAGGATTCGATTTTGGAGGGCGGATTGAGTAGAGAAAATCTGGATCCATGATTTCAGTTTGATTCTTGGGGAGGAGCAACCTGGTGGATATTTGAAAATGTTTTACCCAAACTTTTCCAAGCTGAGACTCTGCTCCAGGAGCCAGGGCTTCAAGGGGCAAATAGAGTATCACTCTAGACAGGCATCATCATGGAGCTTTCTAAATTATGAGTCTTTCTACTTATTTTCACCGCCAAAATTAAAGAAAATTGTTCTCTTAGGACAAGAAGAGCTCTAGGAATTAAAAAAAGTATTTCTTAGAGAATGCAGATATGTTTTAAATTCTCTGTTTGGAGCACAAAATTGTAAATACCATTTGAAAATGCTGGCACTACATGTGCTGCAGTGTACCAACCAAAATAATTCAGCTAACAAAAATAGATTCTCAACGCAAAGCTGTAATTTTCTGCAGACATGAAGAGCATTGCCCAAGAGTTTTTCAATGGCGCACCTACAGATCCCAATTCTTTGTAAATAGCTAAAAGTAAATTGCTTTCCTAGGCTGAATGGAGAGAAGAAGTGAAGAAACATTTTGAGAAAATTAAAAGTGAAGGAACTTGTATCCACCGGCTGGATGAAGAATTGATTCGCCGTCGAAGAGAAGAGCTGAGGTCTGTTCAAAGTCTTCTGTGTTTACTGTTCACTTTTCCCATCCAGCCTTCCTTTCCCAGCTAAATGAGCCCTCAGCTTCTCCTCACAGGGATTCCTGCTCCAGCCCCTGACGCTTTTTATTCTCCTCTTGTACTGAGGTTCCCAAAACAGGACCCAGTATTCCTGGTGGTATAAATTTGGGCAGCCTAAATTTCTTGTGAACCCAGAAACCAAAATTCCCATGGGCATGGCCTAGGCCATGAGCACTGCTCAGCTGATGGGAAGCTGAAGAGAAGCAGTGAGAACTGTCGCTGTTCTTGGGCAGTCTCAACAGTTTGCTCCAGACAAGGTGGCAGAGGCATGTGTTTCCCAGGGAATATTTGTGCCTGAGAGTTGGTGTTTGTGATAACTGCACTGAAGCAGATACATTTATCTCGGTGGGAAATCCATCCCGGGTTTGGCTGTGAGCTTTCTCTGCCCTGATACTTTCTTTGGGTTAGTTATTCCAGAGGAGTGAACATACTTCATATGAACAGCCCACTGAAATGCATTTTGAACATTAAACCAATTTAAAAATCAAAGCAGAAGGTTTATTTAAAGAAGGGAAAGTGTTTCCTCTGGTGATACAGATTTGCAAATACAGTTGACAGAGAAACATAAAACTCTAAGAAGCAGTTCTGTGTCAAACCAATTACCTTGCCTGGGTAATTTGATGCAGTGGTTGTTCAGTGTTCCCTGTCTCCAGGGAGCTTTGGGTGGCCAAGTCTTTCAGCTGGAGCTGTGGGGACACCCTGCTGATAATGAAATACAGACACATGACTTTCCTGTTTCTGCAGAGGCTGGTTTAGCCCCTTCTCTGTGCAAACAGGCTGATCAGGGCTTGGCCAGAGGGCTTCTGGGTGCGTGTGAGGCATTTGCAGCTCTTCTAGGGAGGAGTGTTGCCACTCTTTCAGGGCTGTTGAACACTTTCTAAACCATTTATTGCTGTGTCAGGCTCTAATCAATCATCATTCACTGTTAGCTGTATCCGGGATTCTGTGCGGTACAGCTGACAAATTTGACTTTCAAAAGGCTTTTTCCTAAAGCACCTGTACTTTTCCTTTCTCTTCTCTTGGCCATGGAAGTCAGACTGGAATAAAGCCTTTTCTGCCTTTCAGACATGCATTAGATATCCGTGAGCACTACGAGAGGAAGCTGGAGCGAGCCAATAACCTGTACATGGAGCTCAGTGCTATCATGCTGCAGCTGGAGGTGCGAGAGAAGGAGCTCATCAAGTACGTGTCTGGGATTGGTGATATGCATGTGTCAGTTTGCACACAGCAGAGCACAAACAGTGCTTCATTTCTAAACTGGATAGTGGCACTTGTAGATTTAGTGTCCCCTGACAAACTACAAAGGTTAGGGAATTGCTGTTGAGCAGGGAGAGAGGTCCCTTCAGAGTGAATTCCTGCAGACCACTGTCAGCGGTTACTGACTTGGAGAAAAGCATCTTCTCATTTGGTGCTGGCATCCTTTGGCCCATGTGTGAAGGGAGTGACAGTGCTGCTCCTGGACTGTTTGCCAGCGCCTTGTCCCTGCTGCATGATGGCTGCAGAAGGAATTTAGAAGTGTCTGTGCCCTTTCCCAGCAGAGCAGTTGGGCATGCAGTGTTTTCCTTGTAGAGCCAGTTCCTGTCCAGTGAGAGTAGCAGGTGGAGAGACAGAAAATTGATGTGGTTTTCTTTTTTTGTCTTTCCCTGATGTTTCAGGAGGGAACAAGCAGTGGAAAAAAAATACCCTGGGACTTACAAACGCCACCCAGTCAGACCAATAATCCACCCCAACACAGTGGAGAAGTTGATGAAGAGGAAAGGGGTCTCCCATAAACCAGGCAGCCAGACCAAACGGTGAGAAGTAACAACCCAGTCCTGTGCCAGAGCCAGTGGTAGATCCCCACTGTGCAGTTCCTTCCCTTTGAGCCTGATGAAATGCAGGGTACAAAGGGGTTTCTTGAGCCTGGTCTAATCCTCAGAACCATAATTGTTTAATTATCTTAAGGTGAAAGGGATGAATTCTGCCATCCCTACCACCTGGGCAGCTCTCTGGAGCTACAGAATCACGGGATATGTTGGTTGAATGAATGAATTGTTGGTTCATGTGATTTTTGAGCAGATGATGGTCCTTGGACAGGAGGTATCTCTTGTGTTTTCTCAAATTCCTAACTGTCCAAGATCATCCTTTACTTGTATGGGAATAAGCAGGGCAAGGGATTGTGGAAATCAGGCAGGCCTCAGGAAGGATGGATTCATTGTTGAGGAATTAATTTGGGATTTGAGATTTTGGAATTCATGCTGTCCTTTCAGTTATTTCTCTTCTGCATGACTTTGAGATAGGGAGATTATGTTTTTTCTAGAGGAGTTGTCTTAGTCTTTACATTTTTGGGGATTTCCAGGAGTTAGTCCTGATTACCAGTGAATAATCACTTCTGAATTAATATCCCCACATGGCTCTTAGATGAGCAGCCTGATCACCACCATTGTACATGCACAGAGTGAGAGCCATGCTCTACCTCAAGGTCCTGGGAGGGAGCTATTTTGGGAGAGAACATCAAAATAAGAGCGGAAAAAGAGAGCGTGTGACAGCTCTTGGAAAAAGCAGCAAGATGGGAGTGTAGAGCAGGGTGGGCTGAATGGAAATGGCATTGAGTGGAGAGAATCACAGGGACCAAAATGCAGGAGTCAAGCAGCTGAAGGGGAGGGCAGCCTGTAGATTTTAGGAAGCAAGAGAGCGTGCTTTTGGCTCCAGCTGCCTCTTCATCCTGGCTCTGGGCTGGTGTCACTTCTTTGTTTGTGGCTTGACATTTAACTTCTTCTCCCTGTCACCCAGGCCAGATCTGCTGAAGTCAGAGGGCATACCCAGCACAGAAGCAGCATCCAATGGCTCCCCAGTCTCAGGAAGTCCCAAGATGTCAACCCTGAGTGGTAAAAGCCGGTACCGCAGCAAGCCCCGGCACCGCCGGGGGAACAGCAAAGGCAGCTACAATGAATTTGCAGGGATCTTGAAGAACCAGCCAGCGCAAGACGATGCCCCCCAGCCTGGCACTCCCCACCCTCCCCACATCCCCGGAGTGCCACAGCAGCCCGGCCACGGGCCCCACGGGCAGCACTCGCGGCTGCACGCCCACGGGCAGGACATTGCCACCTGCGCCAACAACCTGCGGTACTTCGGCCCCGCGGCCGCGCTGCGCAGCCCCCTCAGCAACCACGCCCAGCGCCGCATGTCCGGCTCCAGCCCCGACCTCATCTCCACCGCCATGGAGGCCGACTGCCGCCGCGGCCTGGACAGCAAGGACAGCACGGCTGAGCGCTGGGAGTGCTGCCAGGCCGATGCCTACGATCCCTGCCTGCAGTGCAGGGATGAGGACAGCGGCCAGGCACAGATGGCATCTGTGGAACCAGGGGGGAGCCGCCCCCAGTCCCCAGCATCTGCGTCCCTCTACGAGAGCGCGCAGTTCATGGAGAAGCTGGAGGAGCAGGGCACGGTGGCGTCCGCCCTGGGCACTCCCCAGCACTTGGCTTCCTCAGGGCTGCCCTGCAAAGCAAGATCCCTCCAAAAGGTAAGGACAGAGCACTGGGCTTTGAAGATGTGGTTTTGGTAGGGCCTGGTTCTGTTATGTGCAGTTTTGCATTGGTTTGAATTGCAACTTGTTCTGCTGAATTTTTGATGTTGAAACAGTCTCAAAATGCTTTCAAGCCTTTCTCCAAAGGAAGGGATAAATGCGTTATTTAAATTGTTCTGTAATATTGCGTGAGAGTTTCTTAGAGAATCTGTAGTGCTGCTGTGTGTCTCAGGACAAAGATTCAACATTTGCCGTGGTCTTGAGGACATCCCTTTTGCTGCACTTGCTGGAAATTGTTCCCCTACACTGAAAGTCATAGCTCTCCTGTATTTTGTGAAGATTTTGCAAGAGTAAAAATGAGGTTATGGCACAGTTGTACAGAAGTAGCTCTTTGTTCCTCCTGCTTCCATCCAGATGGTGAGAGAAGTCTGAGTTTAAAGAGCATGAAAACTGGGCCTGGCTGGAAAAGTCAAGGAGAATAGCATAATTACCAGACCAAGAGTGTGGTTTGGCCCCAGTGTGAAGGCAGTAGTACCTTGTAGAACAAGGGGATGGGATGAGATAAAGGGTTAATCTGAATGAGGGGCTCACAGGTTGGATAGGATAGAAGGAGGCTGTAAAGAAATAGGTGTGGGGGTAGATTTGGATGGGAAAAGGAAAATAAAAGGCTCTGTGCTCACTGAGGTATGAAACAAATCCCAAGTTCTCCTAGCTAGTGAAACCCATTGGCAAAGGCTGTGTCATCCTCCATTCTTTATTGATGAGCTGTGGTAGAAGAGGGTAAACCCAAGAGCACCAAATCTGCTCCATAATTTATGTGGCTTTCTATGTGATGCTAATTACTTTATTTGCTTCAATGAGAATCTGGAACATTCTGTACTCTGTACCTGCTAAAATACTCCAGTGTATTTCCTAGTCAGTCACGCCAGATTTGGGAATAGCAGCCTTGAGGCTGCCTGAAACAACCCCTGGTAGACAATATCTGAGTCAGCATTCCTGACACATAGGCTATTTTCTGGTCTAGATTCTTGCAGCCTGTAGATTTTTGCACTGTTTTGCAGTGACTTTGTCCTGGAGGACCAAGGGTCAGCCGTGTTTGAACTTCCCCAGACATTACACCTTTTTGTCCTTGTTTTCTGCCAGAGTGGGGATGAGTCGTCAGAAGAGGAGGAGGGCGAAGTTGACAGTGAAGTGGAATTTCCTCGTAGACAAAGGTAAAAGGTGAATTCACTCTAATCTCTCTTTGGTGGGACAAAACTGAGAATTCTCATAACAGCTGCACACCAGCATTGAAACTGGTGAAGGTGCTGGCAAAAGAACAGAATTCGGTGTGTCCCATCCACCCTCAGGTGATCCCTCATGTCCACTCGCTGTTCCAGCCCATCCTGAGATGTTGTCTCTGGCACAGCTTTCCTGCTTCAGGCTGTTTGCACTTGATAACATTATTCTGCCTCTGTAAATGAGCTGCTGCATCTGTTTCACCAGGATCAGACTTGGTGGATATGGGAATCCTTTGTGGGCTACTCCCAGTGTTGTTTATTAATTGTTACTACAGTGGGGAAAACTCCAGCCCAGCACCTTTGTAGCTGAATTCAGATAAGATTTCAGAGCTAAGTGACAACAGCAGATCAAATTTGATGGTGCTGCCTGTAAAATAAGACTTAGGGGAAGTGTTCCTACTAAAGCCTGGGGAACAGCAGGATTTGCAGTCCTGTGCTCAGGAAAGACATCATGGACTTGGTGCTGTAGCTTCATGAAAGTGGCTGGCTGCTTTAAGTGCAGGAGTGATCCACTAGGCAAACAGGTTGAAGGTTTGATTCAAAGGAGCAGAGAAGAAAATAAAATCTTGTCTCCTGTTGTGTGCATCCACAGCACACCTGAAGTTTAAATCCTAATGCCCCCTTCATTGCCTCAGCTCAAAAACCACAGTAAAGTTTGGAAAGGTACTGACAAGTGTGACAAGAGTAGTTAGGGATGGTTTCTGTAGAAGAAGAGATTAAACATGTGAAATGTTTCTCTAGCAGGAGAGGCAGCACCAGAGGTGCATGAAATTCTAATTTATGTGGAGAAAATAGACAAGGAATGATTCTTCACATTCATGTTAGGGGCAGCCAGTGAAGCAAATGGGACTTTAAAATGAGCAAAAGGAAGCGCTTTTTCCATCCAGAACATTTTCAGATGTGGAGCTCATTGTCAAGGTGTGCTGTGGAAATCAGACCATGAAGAGCTGTAAGTGCAAAATTTCTGGAGTGTGGATCTGTCAGCAACTGTTAGCATTGTCTTCTGGGTTTGAGCTTCTGCTTGGAAGTCAGATCTGGTGAATGGTACAAGCCAGGAAGAGATGCCAGGAGAAAGCAGGCTCTGTCTGTATACCCTGTTCTCATACTTCTCCCAGATTATACCTTCCTGGCTGGGGTTGCAGGCAGAATGCTGGGCTGGATGTGTTATGTGATTCATACAGTTCCTGTGTGATGTTGTTTCCTCTGTGATTTACTAACTTGGAAGAATAGGAGGACAAATTGCCTGTTTCATGTGATGCCCAGTTGTGGGTCTCCTGGCATGTTCCCTCAACTGATGTGTTGCCTCATTGGTGTTGAATTCTGGCACAAGGCCATTTCCATGGTCAAGTAACCATGAGCTTATTTCTTGAGTGGATGGTCTTAAACCCTGTCTGGCTTTTGAGATGGCTGCCAGGTGATGCAGGTATTCCCAAGTGGGTTAGCTTGAACTCACAGAATCACTGGGTTGGAAGAGACCTTTAAGATCATGGAGTCCAACTCATGCCCTAACACCTCAACTAAACCATGGCACTGAGTGCCACATCCAGTCTTTTTCTAAACACATCCAGGGATGATGACTACCACCTCCCTGGGCAGATAATTCCAGTACTTTATCAATCTTTCCATAAAAAACTTTTTCCTAACATCCAACCTAAATTTCCCTTGGCACAGCTTAAGACTGTGTCCTCTTGTTCTGTCAGTTGCTGCCTGCAGAAAGAGACCAACCCCACCTGACTACAAACACCTTTCAGGGAGCTGTAGAGTGATAAGGTCACCTCTCAGTCTCCTTTTCTCCAGGCTAAACAACCCCAGCTCCCTCAGTTGTTCCTCACAGGGCTCATATTCCAAGCCCCTCACCAGCCTTGTTGCCTCCTCTGGACGTGCTCAAGCATCTCAAGGTCCTTCCTATACTGAGGGTCCAGAACTGGACACAGCACTCCAGGTGTGGCCTCACCAGTGCTGAGTACATGGAAAGAATGACCTCCCTGCTCCTGCTGGCCACACTACTCCTGATCCACGCCAGGGGTCATTGGCCTTCTTGGCTCTGCTGGCTCATGTTCAGCTGCTGTCACCAGTACCCCCAGGTCCCTTTCTGCCTGGGCACTGTCCAGCTACACTGTCCCCAGCCTATAACATTGCAGGGGGTTATTGCGGCCAAAATTCAGGACTTGGCACCTGGACTTAATTAAACTTCATCCTATTGGACTCTGCCCAACTGTTCCAGGTCTCTTTGCAGAGCCCTCCTACCTTCCAACATATCGACACACACTCTCAGCTTAGTGTCATCCACAAATTTACTAATGAAAGACTCAATACCCTCATCCATGTCATAAATAAAAATAATAAACAGAACTCCACAGTACAGCCTTGCTTTCCTTTAGGAAAATGCACTGTCGAAGAAAAATATGCTCCAGGGCAGATCAACTAATATAGACATATCAGACAGGGCCAAATAAGAACAGATTAATTTAAAGATGCAGGTCTTGAACTGAGTCATTCAGAAGGGGTAGAATTCTGTAGCTTGGGGATGTGAAAGGCACTCCACAAGGCCTGGCGCAGCAGAGCAGTGAACACAGCATCCAGGAAGTTCCTGTGGCTGTCATCCAAGATGAACACTGAACTTCTCTCCTTGTTTGCAGACCCCACCGCTGCATCAGTAGCTGCCAGTCCTACTCGACCTTCAGCTCTGAGAACTTCTCCGTGTCGGATGGAGAGGAGGGGAACACAAGCGACCACTCAAACAGCCCGGATGAGCTGGCCACCAAGCTGGAGGATGAGCTGGCTGAGAAGCTGGAGGACATGTTGTCCCAGACTCCAGAGATCCCCATTGAAATCTCCACGCAGTCAGATGGGCTTTCGGACAAAGAATGTGCTGTGCGGAGGGTCAAAACTCAGATGTCTCTGGGCAAACTTTGTGCAGATGAACACAGCTGTGAGGTGAGTTGGTTATCCCCTTGTCCTTCCACTCAGTGGAAAAAAACTACATAAATGTTATGGAAAAGAATCCAAGGGCCACAAAGTTGGAACGCTGCCTAGAAAATGCTGTGGTAGGTGTACTATGGCAAAGCAACTGCTGCAATACCCCATCTTCCTCCTGCTTGGCAAAAGAGTGGTTGGGGGAGACTAGCACAAACAAAGCTGAACATAATGTGCTCTTCCTGATGAGTGTGATCTTGGGAGGCCATCAGATTTGCAGTTGCATTAAGTGGGATAAAAATAGATAATGAAATGGAGTAGATATAAGCTGCCTCAGACATATCCATCAGCAGCCTTGATGACAAAGCCGGGATGACTTTCTTCCTTTCTCTGCCTTTCAAGTGTTCAGAAGGGGTAGGGCAGAGCCTGCTGCATGATCTCCTCATAACCCTGTGTTTAAGAGTGCTCTGACCAGGTATTTCTGTGCTGTCCCCTCTCTTAGGGGAGACAAGTGACCTTTGGTGGGGCAGTTGTGTGCTGTGCCCTCTCCCATGTGTGCCACTCACCTCCTCTGCAGGTGGTGACCTTTGCCTGGCTGCTTTGACAGACTGGGATGTGTGGGTGATGTGCAGTACAGGAATGGTGCTCAAATCTCCCCCTTTCCTTTTGTCTTGCAGAACCCACCACAGTTTGGAGAATCAGACTGTGACTCTTCTGAAGGGGAGTGTTCTGATGCCACAGTCAGGACCAATAAGCCCTGCAGCTCTGCTACTTGGTAATACGGATTTCCCCCAAAGCTTCCTGGTACTGGCATTTTGATTTCCCTGAGATTCCACTTCATTCCCCTTCATCACACTTTACAGGAAGAGAAGATGCTTCTCCTTCCCACCCCAGGAGTGATTTGCAATAACCCGAATCTCTGGAAAATGTCCAAATGAAATTAATTCTCTTTGAGCATTTCAATCAAGAATGGCAGGGATGTATTTTATTGAATAATCTAGTTACTGTAACATGGATATTTATTTTTTTGACATTTTAACACTTTTTACTGTAAAGAGTGGATTGTATTTATAGACACACAGACTCGTTGCAAAAAAAAAAAGTTCAGAAAGCAAGCACACTACGGAGAAACATCCTGGGAGTCCTGCCTGGACAGCTTTGTGTACAGACGCGGGGGATTCTCTTGCTGCTTGCACAGGGGACCAGGCCTCGTGGCCCTGAAGATTGGAGAACAGATAAGAAAACTAAACCACTTAGTCTTATCAAATGAGGAAAAGCAGAAAAAGACCTGACTGTAGAGTCACCTGTGAACAAAGTGTTTTCAGTATAACCAGCTGGGTCATTTTTAATCAGAAGGTGGACTGTTCCTGGAGAAAACTCGTACTGAGGTGCTAACATCCAGGGTCTTCTGAGTCGATACATCCCCAGGAATGTAATGATGGGTTTTATTTTAAGGATTTTTAGTTTCTTTTTTTAATCAGCATTTTGTTGTGAGATCCTGCAAATGTATTCTAACCTCGTCCTCTTGAGAATTGGTATCAGAGCACTTCTTACCACCGTCCTTGCTTCACTCTGGGAGTGTCAACCTCCAGCTGAGCAGGGAAACCTCTCTCAGATGCAGTGTGCCGTTTCCCAGTTTACTTCCTCCTCTTACCTCCTGTCTGTTTCAGTCAGTCAAAGAAATCAATCAACTCAGTGTTGGCCAAGCAAGGACTTGCAAAGTGTGGAAAGCACATTCCGCAGAGCCTGAGCACTTCTGGGGAGGACGCTGGAGACGTCTGGATTGGACCGGGAGAAGCAGCCTCTCACCTAGAGCAGCATCGAGAACCAGCAGAGGGCTGTGTGTTGAGGGGGAAGACTGGGAATCACTGGCCTGGCTTAGAGCATCAGCCCTGCTCTGTCTCCTTATTCACTGAACATTCTTGGAAGCATTAGCAGCTTCCTGCCCTTCATGGCAGGCCTTGTGCAGGGAATCCTGACACGGCCGTGGCACGGCCGTGTCTCGAGTGTGCCCCGAGGCCTCTGTGTCTCCTCTAAGCTGAAACTCTGCAGGTGCAAGTGAGGATAGTACTGGTATATGACAGGCCGAGGCATTGGCAGATGAGAAAAATTTGTTTTCTGATAGAACTCATAGTGCCTTCCCTTCAAACACTACTCTTCTAAAACAATATTGAAAGAGAACAAAACGATAGAGCACGTTCCCCCCCCTTTCCTTAGTTGATGTCCCCCTGAAAGAGCTCTCCCTCTGCCCTTCCCAGTGTGCTGGCTGGCATGGCCAGCCAGAGGTGAACGGCAGGAATGGACCATGGACAGGTACTTCTGTTGCTTTGTTTGTTTACATTTTTATGTTAAAATATTGGTTTGAACTTAACTGTGGTAATTTATAGCCTCATGGCAAAGTGAAGGAAAATGTCTTACTTATACAGAGAGCAGTATTGTATGAGTTAAATTATCCCATATTTTTAAATTTTTGTAGCTGGACTACAGACAGATCTTAAGTTATGATGTTATTTTATTATTTATTATCATTTCTGTAGATCAGAAGGTTGGCTTCACCGCTAGCACAATTGTAATCTCTGTGTGTGATGTTACCTTCTCCCTGCTCGCCAGAGGGGTGGGAGCAGAGCTGGGCTCAGTGGCTGTCAGGAGTTGCTGCCTCTAGTGATCTCCAGGGCAGAGAACAGGGAGGGGTGGATGGCTGCAGTCAGGTTCCTCATGGGCAGAGCTGCAGTTTGCTCACGTTGCTGATGGTCACCAGCCACTGAATGGGTGGGAATGTGGGAAGGATGGTCAGGGGGTGAGGGGCTTTTGAATTGATCACAAAGTGAATAATCGTGACAAGATTCCCTGGACAGAGCATCCAAAACGACATCAGGGAGGAGGGCAGCTGCCCTGGGCAATGGGTCCATGTAGTGGATCACCCTGGCAGGACCAAGCAGGCTCCTGGAGAGGGAGTGACTTGCTCACCCTGCTCTGGGTAGAGGCAGAACCCTGTGAGGAGTGGAGCTTTTTCCTGGCTCCTTCCCCCTCTCTTCCCACCCTTCATTTCTCCTCCCCAATGTTCTTGGTCTCTCGGCCAGTGGCAGGAAGAGCTGGCAGGGCAGAGATGGCTTTGCTGTTGTGGTATGAGAGGGGATTTGGTGCAGATGGTTACTCAGGAGGCTGGAGGCCACGGTGTGGGAATTTAGCAGTGGAGAACTGTGTGCACATAGCACACTGTGGTGTAAAGAGAGGTGGAGAACTGCCATTGGGTGTCCTCAGCAAAGGATGCCAAGCTCTGTGCCCCTGGGGAGACTCTGCTCAGACCTGGCAGGCTCTGGGAGACCCATGGACAGCACTGGTATCCTTGGGCAGTTCCACAAACAGCCCCAAAGCAGAGCTGCCTCCAGCACAGGTCTGTCACTCTCCCCAGGGCCTCCAGCCTGTGGTGATCCAGTCCCTGAGAAATAGGTTCCAGAGGGGTTTGGGTACCTGTGGTCTCTGCATAGGCTCCACCATGGGATGAAGCTCCACTGGGCTCATAGAGCTTTGGTGTTTGGGATTTTGAGACCCTTCTGGGCCAGTTGTCCTAGGTGTGTGCTGATCCCTCCCCATCCTTGCCTGGGGACATGCTGGCCTGTTCTGCAGCCTGGGTAAGCAAAGCTGCCCCCTCCAGGCTGCCACATTTAACTCTGTTCTCAGACCCCCAGGTCATTGCACTGCTCCAGTCCAGTGTTGCTGCTCCCACCTGCTGCCCCTGACGTTGCATCCCTCTGGGAATGCCACAAGGGCAGCTCCTTGCCCCACCCATGGAGGTGTCACCCCAGCCTCCCCTGCACACACGTCCCATGGCCTCGCTGTGTGTGGGCAGAGCTGGCTCAGCACCCCCACATTCCTGGGATGGTTGCTGTCGGTTCTGGGGGGGTTATGTAGGATTTTCCTTAGTGACATCTCCCTGGGATTGCACAGACACAGTCCCCACATCGCTGTATGGGCACCTCTGCTGTGGTTCCTCACACTTCCTCTCCTGGCAGGGTCTGGGGTTGAGAGGTGTAGGTGAGCCTGCTTACTCCTTGTAGTAATACCGCATTCCAGGGCCGGAGTAAACTGTGGGTTCCCTTTCCAGCATCCCAAGTACCCTGATCCAGTTCTTGTGGCTGCTGACAGCTCCTGAACACTAGCCTAGATTTTCTCCCAGAGCTGAATGTTGCCCTCCCCACTGTCGTGTTAAGTACCCATTTCATCTTGGCCCTGTCCAGTAGTGTTCATCCCCTCCTCCCTGCTCTGTGGATTCCTGAGACAAACTTGATTTTTTTTTGTATTGACCAGTGTACAGTGATGGAAACAAGAATGACTATCAAAGCAAACAATGCATGGAATAAAAAGCCAGTGTACTTCAATGCTGCAGACTGGTCTTGTGATCTGGGAATGGGTTCTCATGGACTTTGGGATGATGTCATGAGGCCTTGCTCTGGGGTCTCCCATCTGCCCCCTTTCATACCAGGAAGGTTACTTTATCCTTCAAATGGATCTCCTTATGGAGAGCAAATACCAAAATCCCAAGAGCAGTGTCATCCTGGGGTGAAGAGGGTGGTGAGGCCCTTGCACAAGTTGTTCAGAGAAGCTGTGGCTACCCCTGGACCCCTGGAAGTGTCCAAGGCCAGGCTGGATGGGGCTTAAAGCAATCTGGGACAGTGGCCATGAGAGAGGCAAGGATGGGCTTTAGGATCCCTTCCAACCCAAACCATTCTGGGATCTTATGTTCTCCATAATTGGGACAGAGCCCACCTCTTTATTTGGAATCCTCCTAGTTATGCAGGAGCAAATGTGTGGCTTTCAAGGTGCTTTTCAAGGACAAATCTCTGCCAATCAGGCACATTCATTACCATTCTTTTCCCTTTTAGTCTTTATGGGGTGTAGCAGCCACTGGCAGACCAGAGAAGCAATCTCAAGTGTTCTGACATGACTGATTCTGGCAGCTCAAATCCAGAGCATTTTGCTGCGGGGTGTGCTGGTTTAACACGGGAATCAAAGAAGAATCTTCTACAGCTCCACACTGAAACACCATTATTTTCTCAACTTGGTGCTTGTACAGCTGCACAGGAGCACATGGCTCATCATTTGAGGCCAAAAATGCTAAATCTGTCTGGAGTTGGAGGGAGCAGGGCCTGCCTGCTGCCCACAGGGTTGTGCTTGGCCAGTGATCCACAGGTGGGTTCTGGTTTGCCTTCCTTACAGGATGCCAATACTCTTCCTTTTGCTCCCCACAGCCTGAGGCACACAGGAGACTGATTTAAATGAAACAGGCAAATAAACTGAGTGTTCACAAAGCCCCTGTATCTCTCTCTCCGTGCAGGTACATGCACAGGTAAACATTCATTAAAAGTAAGAACAGACACCTCCTCTGGTGAGAAGGATGATTAAAAATTGCCACTGTCCTTAGTGGCACAGAGCATGCAGAATATAACCCCTGGGAACAGAGTCCTGCAGCTTTTACCCCAAAACTGGGGCACCTAAGCCATCACAAGCTCTTTCTGCCATTGAGTGTCTGAGCTTGCTTGTCCCCATCCAGCTTCAGGTGTTTCTTGCTGTATCTCTTGATAAGGGTCCCTGGAATCAGCGCTGCCACAGCCATGGCCAGCAGCTTGAGCAGTGTGTCCCAGGAGAAGATGGCATCCAGAGAGGTGATTTGGGACAGAATGGCCCCTGTCTGCACACAGATGAAATTATATGGTGTAAGGCCTGAAGGAATCAGAGCAGAAAAAAGCAGTTAGTACTCCCCCATGGGAAAATTAGCTCAAATATGCCCAACACCAGACACAGAAATCACAGAATTGTAAGGGATGGAAGGACCTCTTGAGATCATCCAGTCCAACCCCCTTTGCTAAGGCAGGGTTACTCAGAGCAGGTGACACAGGAATGTGTCCAGGGGAATTTGGTATGTTTCCAGAGAAGACTCCATGCCCTCCCTGGGCAGCTGTTCCAGTGCTCTGCCACCCTCCATGGAAAATTCTTCCTCATGTTGAGGTGGAACTCAGTGTTTTAATTTACAGCCATTACACAGACACAGGGGACAGAAAGAGCCAGGTGTTAAGCAGAATGTGCAGCACTGGGGACATCTGTTTACAGAATGCTGCAGGGCAGCACAGAGGAAACAGACCAAGGGTAGAGTCTCAGATCTGCCCTCCCTGGCTCAGAGATAGCAAGAACAGCAGTGTCACACCGTCCCCTCAGGCCATGTCCCCAGGCCTTACCAATGAGGACGGAGAGAAAGAATTGGGATATGGGGATGTTTAAAATGGGAGCCGAGAGGTTCAGAAACCAGTTTGGTGTCATGGGGAAC